TCTGTTTTGTACTAATGCATATAATTATACTGATCCTGGTTCATTTTGCCCCCAAGATGTGGTTTTGTGCCTTTTTTGTTGCACTACTATTCCCCTCATAACCAAGCCTGTCTCCATCTGATGAAGAATGTAAGGTCGTTGAAATTCAGTTGAGGGAAACATTTAAATAAAGTTGCTTTCCTGTTTTGTAGCAATTTGCTGACTCTTTCTCTTATTTCATTAAACAGCTTTGGTGTTCTCCTTTCCTTTATTGCGCTTGTTAAACCATAAGGACATCACTCGTGACCGGCATTATGTCTGTGTGTATACAGTTGTAAAACTAGCCCTGGCATGACTATAATCTCGAATGGCCATAAAAGCAGCATGAATGTTACCCAGGTTACCACCTAAATGACACCCTATTTCCTATACAGTGCATTCGGAAAGTGTTTTGTCAAGGCACAGATCTGGGGAAGGGTACCAAAACATTTATGCAGCATTGAAGGTCCCCAAGAACACAGTGGCCTCCATCATTCTTAAATGGAAGAAGTTTGGAACCACCTAGACTCTTCCTAGAGCTGGCGGCCTGGAAAAAATTAGCAATCTTGGAAGAAGGGCCTTGGTCAGGGAGGTGACCAAGAACCCAATGGTCACTCTGACAGAGCTCCAGAGTTCCTCTATGGAGATGGGAGAACCTTCCAGAAGAACAACCATCTCTACAGCACTCCACCAATCAGGCCTTTATGGTAGAGTGGCCAGATGGAAGCTGCCACTCAGTAAAAGGCACAGCTTGCTTGGAGTTTGCCAAAAGGCACCTAAAGGACTCTCAGACCATGAGAAACAAGATTATCTGGTCTGATGAAACCAAGATTGAACTCTTTGGCCTGAATTCCAAGCGTCACGTCTGGAGGAAACCTGGCGCCATCCCTACGGTGGCGCATGGTGGTGGCAGGATCAATGCTGGATGTTTTTCAGTGGCAGGGACTGGGAGACTAGTCAGGATCGAGGGGAAAGATGAACGGAGCAAAGTACAGAGAGATTCTTGATGAAAACCTGCTCCAGAGCACTCAGGACCTCAGACTGGGGAGAAGGTTCACCTTCCAACAGGACAACGACCCTAAGCACACAGCCAAGACAACGCAGGAGTCAATGCCATTGAGTGGCCCAGCCAGAGCCTGGACTTGAACCCTATCGAACATCTCTGGAGAGACCTGAAAATAACTGTGCAGCTACACTCCCCATGCAACCTGACAGAGCTTGAGAGGATCTGCAGAGAAGAATGGGAGAAACTCCCCAAATACAGGTGTGCCAAACTTGTAGCGTCATACCCAAGAAGACTCGAGGATGTAATCGCTGCCAAAGGTGCATCAACAAAGTACTGAGTAAAGGGTCTGAATACTTATGTAAATGTGATATTTCACATTTTTTATAAATTAACATTTTCTAAACCTGTTTTTGCATTGTCATAATGGGGCATTGTGTGTAGGTTGAGGAGAAAAAACAATTTAATCAGTTTTAGAATAAAGCTGGAACGTAGCAAAATGTGGTCTGAATACTTTACGAATGCACTGTATGGGCAATTTTGCAACTACAGGTAGATTTTTACGTTTTGTATTTCAATTTAGATTTTAATTTACATACATTAAGTTGACACTAAAATAAATATTTTTGTGGTCAATTTTTAAAGCGTTTTATTTCAGGATTTCACTATTCTCCATTGAGAAGCCAATTGTCCCACACCCTGACTTTTGATCTTCTGCTATGTATTTCAACAAGAAAAATGTTTGAACATATTTTCTGGGGGGTGGGTTAGGGATATGTTACGAATCGAATTCGTACTAGCTATGTTATGAATTTTTTGTGCTTTAGAACCTGGAGTGCATTTTTTATGCACCTGGTTATAAAAGGAGTCCAATCAATTGAAATTGTTTTATTTTTACATTTTACACCAAGTCACACACGAACTGGGAAGAGACAGTGAAGAACAAGGATATGATATAGAGAGTATGATGATATATCTTCAAGAAAAGTCACTTTGAATATGTCAAGATAAGAGTATTTTTATTCTCAGTCATTACCTTAACTGATTGATTGTCCTCTATTTGAAAGAATACATGTCATTATGTTGTGGTTGGAATTTATGATAGCTGATCATATTAACCAAGTAAACATGGCCTGGCAGTTAAATCCAAAAATGTTTTGGGAAAACTGCGTAAAATCCATGTTATGGTTCGTGACAAAATGAGAAAAGTATTTCTGTTGATAAAAGTTGATTTCTCAACAAACCTAAAAGGAGGATGAACTTGGGCAGCTACCAACATACCAGTGATGACTGCACCCATCACACAGCACTGAGATTGCGTCCCAAATGACACCCTATTCCCTTTATAGTGCACTACTGAACAGAGCCTATAAAGAATATATGGGTGATTTTACTATGGCCTCTTATTTTCTCCAAATTAAGGTCACATGAGCCTATTGTCGTGGAAATTCTACTTTAACAATGAGGAGAGACAAGGTCAATCACCAATCAGGATATTACTTTATTCAAAACGTATTAATAAGGGAGCAGGTCAAACCACACACACAAATGAATAGAGTGAGTGCTCTGCAATAATGAGGCTGGTCGACCCAACAATCTTGAGTGATGGGCTGAGAGCTCTGACATACAGAGATAAACAGACGTCTTATATAGTGGACCTAAAAATGCTTAGTCATGGCTGGTTCCACCCCTCCATGTCAGCTCGGAAGAAAACAAGCTACCTTCATTTCTTCTCGTGACTATGTGTATCGGTTCATAGCGCACAAACAAGTGATAACGTTAGTTCCGTTACTCCCCTCCGTTCAAGCCAGCCTGTTCACCTCACATCCTTACACAGCTGTGCCCTTGAAAGATAACGGAAGAACAGGATGAACTGAGACACTGTGGTCACTTCTCAGAGGCTCTTTGTCTTATACCGTGTGACCAAGTTACTCAGAAGCAAAGATGATACAAAACAATAACAGGTTGTTCTGTCCCTCAAGTTTTACCTCTATCCCGAGTCGCAAGTTATCTCTGAGTCGCCCCATGTCCTTGACGATACGCACAGACCAGCTGCAGGGAGCAGAGAGTTGAACCATCCCTTCTCAGAAGCACAGTATTGCAAGTTATCACAATCTCTTTAACAATGTTAAGCATATAATGGTTAACTATTAATATAAAACAAAGCAGGTAATTTTTACTCTCGCACTATCACTATGGACCTCAACGTATTATAGAGAACAATGGATAGATATACAGTTCATCTCTCCTATGGATCGGTCAACCCATTCTCTTATGGAATACACCAGGATGTGCCGATTCTGCAGGTACCAGATTTGGCCAAATGCGGACGCTGAACCGACCACTAGGTGCAACGTGAGCACCTTTTACCATCTAGTAGGCTTGCGTTTAATCCATTGTGTTTAAGCATTTAAACTGCAGACTCACGCCTTGATCACACCGACAGCATCATTACACAAAATGGTACGCAGCATCATCTGGATATGTGTGCAACAAAAGTTCAACATTCACCTTCTGCTACCATTTCTGTCAAGCCGTCTACGCATACAGTTTGACGCATACGTTTGATACATCCAATTTATGCACCACACAGAATGCACTGCAACTGCCTCTGCAACGCAATGCTGGTGTACCAAAATGCAATGAGGCTGTCGGTGTGATCGAGCCGTCAGACTCGGAGGGTTGCATATTCAATCCCAGTGCTAGACACTCGTTTTTTGTTTTTTTTGTTTTAAGCCTTTCCCAAACCTTAACCCTTAATTTAACCACTCAGAATTAATGCATAAACTTAAGTTTAACCTTATCTCTAACCTTAACCGTAACCTTAGCCATTAGAATGAATCACTAAACCTTAGTGTTTGTTGTTTTACGCATCAGTAAGCCTCTCAAATAAACAATGTCATTTGATCTGACTTGATATGTTGTGGTTTGATACTTGACAAGTGTCAAATCAGGTAATTTTTTCAGGATTTCTTAACAGTACATAATGACAGATACACATTGTTCAATTAGTCCATTCAGTTTCAAGTTTATTGTTTACATTTGCTACAGTGTTATGGTTTTATTAAACAATATGAATGGGCATAACGCTCACTTTTTGAATATTTCTTAGCTAGAATCTCCAATTCTTTAGGCAGTTTTGATAATTGATTGCACCATGTCAACATTATGGAATAAAATGAATAAATAATTCTGCAATGCCTTTGAACATATCTGGGCAAAGTAGACCTATCTTGTTTGTGCGTGTGTAATAGGTTACGTTTAATGTACTCTGCTTGACAACCTTCAACATAAGAAAATAGTTTCATGTAAAAAGATATCACTACCTAAAACAATATATTTTGGCCTGCTACACAATTAGGTAATACATTCCTATGGAAAAACATTGTTCTTATCAACATTGTATTTATTATAGTATACATCAGAATAAATACAACATGGATACCAGGTTTAGTAGAATCATAGCAAAGATACAGTAACAAGGATTAATTCTCGGCCTATATCAAAATAGCCTGTTATTTCGTTAAGAGCGTGCAAGACTGGTATACAAGTTTAACAACAGTGTGGACTCTGTTTCCACAGTAGATCTTAGTGTCCATCAGCTAATATAGTGATCAATGTCAGCCTGCAGTGTTACATTCTCAGTAGCAGTCTTGTTGTGTTCATACAAAAGAAAAGGAAACAAAATGTCGGCATAGGGCTTATATATTATCAATACATGTAGAATAAGGAGCTATCAAACAACAACAAAACCTGAAATGTAACCTAGTCTGTTTCTTTTTTTACTGTGTAAGTAAAAGTGTCCTGCCATTGTTCATATGGTAGCCTTTGGAGTCTACAAAACACAATAGATATGATGTTGAAAGGTACAAATTCAAAAGAAATTAGTACACAATTTGATTTCAAATCAAAATGTGCTTAACATGTTCCTCTTATATTCTTATTGTACAGTAGGTATTTCTGTCTATTAATAATGGTCTATTAATAATGTCTTAAATTATAAATGGAATTGCATAGCTACAGAGACTAACTATAGGGCAGTTTGTACTGTATAATAATATACCTGTGAGATTAACCTTGTATTTCATAAACCTAGCTAGTGGTATTAATCTTGCTAAGTATTAAGTGGTAATATTCAGCTTGTCTACTTATCTTGTGCTCAGGACTATCGGTGAGGTGTCTGTGTGGTGTGTGCTTATGATCCATTAACATTCAAAAGTATTTAGCTATTTTCAGCAAAAGGCACAAGGGTACGGGAGGGAATGGGAGAAGAGAGAAGCTGGTCAAAACAAGGATTCAACATAATGAGATTTTTTCCTATATTCTCCTGTCTCCTGGTTGTCATGGGGACACCACACCAACAGTAGGATGGGGAATACTACTATGCGCCCACATCGAAGGAGAAGGACACACTGCCTAGGAAGCGATCGGTAGGTGAATCATTGATGATGCCCTTGCCATTGAGTTTGCATTTTACAATGATGTGGGTGTCGTACTGCAGCCCATTGAAACGCACGGCCACCACCGGCGCTGTGTAGTTCACCTGGGAGAAGGGATATGGGACACAAGCAACTTGAGTGGCTATCGTCACTATGATCATGCATATAATCTAGATCATGAGAGCAGCAGTGGAAGTCATGCTGCTGGAAATCCTCACTTACGTGTCTCAGCTTCCCATAGTATGGGTAGTACATCAGGTTGAAAATGCTTTTGGGGAAGAACTGGAGTTCTCCCAAGCTTTCTGGCACTCCTTTCTGAAAGAGTGAGAGGTCACATAGTGAGTCATATTTTCGTGACTAACACCATGTTCCATAAGCAGTTATGATATTCAGTTACGAAGAGATCTTTTACAGCCAGGTTATGGTTGAGATGTTTGAAAGGGAGGAATGTTGACTGTTACTGTACCTTGACTCCACAGGTCACATTTACTGGAGTGCCTTGGCCAGGCAAATAGCCAAGAATCTACAGGTGAGAGAGCAATAAAAGGACCCTTGTATTGTTATATCATCATTTTGTTGAGAAACAATGTTGCAATTCAATGCATATTTAGCATTCCCAGTGGTTGTCTTCAGATTTCTTTAGAGGATGTTCACCAATCATGCCATAAGTTCTCATCCACATAATTTTGAAAGGGGAATGTTTCCATTCAAACCTCCAGCTGAGACCAGCTGTATATGGTGTCTTGTTCAACTTTACCAAGCCAGGATTTATTAACATTTAACTTTAAAAAATGTGTCTAATCATCAACAATTAATTTTGGATATCCCCACCAGGTTTCACTCTATAATTTTCCAAATGGGGACAATACAACTATAGGCTACAGTATATAATGGTAACAATAACATTGACTGGAGTCACAGAATTGCTGTATCCACATCACAATAACGTTTTTATATGCTCCTCATAATGGCCACAAGATGTCACTGAAATGTCTGTATCTATCTCAGATTACCTCAATGGCATCTTCCTCCATTTCATCGATAAACTCCACTTTACGACTATGTCAAATAACACTACCTCTTAGCAATCGCTGATGATATATGCAGCTATAGGATGAAAATTAATGTTAGGTGACTGATACTATAGAGGGATAGCCTGATCCCAGATCTGTTTGGACTGTCTTTGCCAACTCCTGTGATTGTGCCAACCATGTTTGGCATGACAACGACCACAGGAGGTGTTCTCTCAGCACAAACAGATATAGGACCAGGCTAACAGAGGGGCCCTCCATGGGGGAGATCTCATAAGATCTGATCTGAGCTCTGTCTTACCCGGTTCATTCGGAGGAGGATGCAGGGTTTCCCCTGGGAGAAGCCAAAGTGGGGGTCCTGGAGCCCTGAGCACTCGCCCAGCCAGGACCTCTTGAACTGGCACGACTTCCTCTCTGCGCTCTCCTCCTGGTCATCCTGCATGAAGTACTCATCCTGCGGACACTGGATGTTCCTCTGCTCCTGTACGGCATCATTGTACGCTGAAAGAGAGACATGAAACAATTATTTTTCGTTTTTTCATGGGGGGTTAGTGGTTAGTACTGAAACAAGGAAATTGAGAATGTTAAAAAACTAGGGACATGGGGGGGGGGGGGGTCCCCATAAATAAACCGATTGCTCTGCCAGGCCTCTGATTCAGGCAGTCTGACAAAAGCGGGCCGCTGAAGAAGGAAAAAAAAGCTGCAGAACTCAATGGATACGCTCTGCCCACAAAGAGGCTTTCCCTTCCCAGCATGCAGCTCTCCCAGTGGCGGTTGGGACAGGGGACAAAGGTAGGGAAGGTAGGGGGGAGAGGATTAACTAACTGTGTGCCTGCTCTGCTTCAATGTCATACCCCCAACATTCCCCAACATGTCCCCAGCATTTGAATCCCATCGGACCCAGCAAAAACAAACATTATCCTCAGCTAACTTTCAGACCACACTCCTGCAAGTTACTATTCAAGGTTGGCAAAATGCCAACTTTTCCACCATGTATGGTATCTGACTCACGTTTGAGCTGTTCCTCCATTAGCTTTGCATACTTCTTCCAAGACTTGCGGTCGGAGGCGTTGAAGGCGATCTCATAGTGCCCATCCAGTTGTGGGGACATCGTCATACCTGCCAAAGGAAAACCATAGACAGTCAACTGTGCTTACGTTCAGATAGAATCGACAGATAGAGGGATGGAGGATGGATAGACAGATAGAATGAGAGAGAAATAGGGAGTGGGGGGTTAGAATTCATATTTACCTGGTGGCATCACCCTGTCGTTGTGGGTTGGATGGTAGGGGCTGATGGACAGCATGAGGCACCACATACAGGCGCCAAACATGGCCGCCAGGAAGACATACAGTGCAGTGTAGAAGAGGATGATCAGAACTAGAAGGAGGTAACATGGAGGTCAAATATAGAGAATCAGTTACATTCACAGTCACAGTAACTCAATTTAATGGAGCTCATGAGAAGAACGGCAAGGGTAATAGTTGTGGTTATGGCTATCAACGTGCATCAGAATGGAAATTTGTTGATTTGAGTTGGGGAAAATAATGAAGTATAAAGAATCTCCAGTTATTATGTTGGAATTTGGAACTTTCTGGGCTGTCTAGACACTTCTACTGTCATTGCTCAGGATGCTCACCAATGTGTTTGACCAGTACAAAAGTGTTGCCTCTCCACATCTGTAAATGGAAATCACTCCAATCAGTTTGTACTTTGTTACGAAACTAATTTGTTAACAAACTCATTCAAATGACCTGAACTGTGTGAAAAAAGGAAACCCTGAGAACTGCCATTGTTCTCCCCAAATTACAATTAACAGTCCATTAGCAACTAATCAAACCCAAACGTTCCCTAAATTAAATGGCTTTTGCTGCGCAGGCAATTTCACAGGGGACTGGTTGCAGCCAGCTTTGCGTCCCCTGAGCCCACAAAGGCCTTTCTGTTTGAGCTCAGTGAGAATTCTCCCAGCTGTCCTTTCACTCAGGAACACAGTGAACCTCCGGTTGCCATCATAGTGACGGTCTTTTGCAGCCATAGAGCCGCAGCCAGCTCCAAGGAGCCCCGATCACCCCACTCTGGTATTGTGTCCCCCTCTCACACTCCTCTCACACAGGACACACATCACAGACTTCAAACTCAGTCCCCCATCCTTTCTTGCCAGAAGGCACATGGGGCCCCATTCCTTCACAAGTGTGCACACATTGCTTTCTGAAGCTATCGCTTCCTGTCTTGAGCCTGGCCTCTTGTCTTCTACATTACTGGGCACGATGAGGAAAAAAAACACGTTTTCAGACAAGGAAGGAGGAACATGCTCTTGCTTGCAACATTTTCTCAAAGCTTGGCCCCTTGGACCGTTCTCGTATGTTAGTGCTCTCGTATGGTAGTGCATCGGCTTGAGGGAGTTCAAACCCAAACGAGTCACATAGTAACGAGGCTGTCGGATCGCATAGAAACCAGGCTGTCGGATCAAGAGCCCTGCTCCATCATCACTGACTCAACAAACTCCAGGAAACAGTCTCTGCCAAGAACGTTTGTCTGACGGACTGCACCGAACCGCCAATTACATTTGACCACTTTTTCTCTCTATGGGAAAAAAACCCCACTTGTCTACTCTTTACGTGTTCTCCTGTGACCGTGGGGCCACGAGCATGCTACGGTCAAATGCGGAGGTCATTGGGGCTTTGTGAAAAAGGCAGTGGAAAGCCGGGTGAGGGGTATGAGGAATGTGATTTTAGGCCAGCGTGTGACTCAGAACAGCGCACTCCCACCGGGAAGCCGTCCCCAGGCAGCCTTGTTTTTGTCCGCATCGGGACAGAGTTGTCTGTGCACCTATGTAAACATTGAGCTCGGACACACACTCACTCACAGTACAGTGAGCAGGGCCGAGGGACTGGGGAGACACATTTCTTTCTAAACCCCCCCCTCCGCCCAAGCCCACCCCAACCATCATCCAAAAACAATAAGCCAAGAAACCAGCACTTTTACCTTCAACCATTGGCGATTATAAATGAGAGTGACGTTATTGGACTTTTACAGAAATTAAGTACCAATGTGTCAGCAGGCCTGTTGCAGCTTTGAACACTGCATTCGTTTTCTTGTGGGTTAAATATTTTGTGTGGTATGATATGCATGGGCAACACACAGTTACTACGGCTACTACTGAGCACTTCTACTTACACCAGCTATGCCCAGTGCGGCCCATGAACTCTCTGGTCTCAGCGTTCCATAGATATGTCTTCACATCGAACGCTTTCTCGTGGAGCGTCCTCTTGGGCTTTGGCTTGGGCTTCCACTTCTCGAAGTTCAGGTCTTCCTGCTCCAGAGGTTGATGTTCTATCAACTCCTCCTGCACCTCTTCCAAGGCCTCTGACACCGCGTGCTTGCCAGGCGCCACCTCGGCAGACTGGCACAAGGAAAAAAGAGACGGGAAAAGGAAGGTAAGAATCTTCCCAGTCTGACTTTGCCATGCCACGATGTTATCAATCACTATCTATTAGTTCCAACTCATTACAGAAAGACATATTTGGATTATTATAATCAGCCATGCTTTTTAGGTTAACCGCCATGTTTATTTTTTTTGTTGCTATTATTCCCTTTTTATCGAGTAATTACAAAAAAAAATCACTACTCCGCGATGGTCCTGTCCCATCATGTTCTAGCATGTCCCACCATGTTCTGTTAAATTGACGTTCGCTGTGACCCCGGTGGCCCTCTTTGGGATATCTCTCCTCCTCAAGGCTGACCTTCCTGCTTGGAGCAACAGCTGCAGCCAAGCTAGAGGGTCACGGCGACAGCCAGATGTTATACACTGATTCTCAGCATTGAGAGGCCCCAGAAAGATCCCCAGTGGTCAGTGGAACCCCCTGGTGTTTTTAGAATGTCACTTCCTTAATGAAGTGGAGTTTTTAAGAACTCTCTATTCTATCGTATCCTATTATATTATATTCAGATAGAAATGGGAATTTAATTAATTATTAATTAAATCCTTGAGGTATGATACCCCCAAACTTCTTGTGACATGCACTTGTAGACAGTAGAATAACTCCCAGATATCAATTAGTTTTCATGTCATCCTCTGTATTCTAAAGTGGACTTACTGGATTTGGTGAGTAATTTCCATGGTGCTCTTCCTCAGCCCCTCCCGCAGTAGAATTGGGCTCCATGATTCTTCACAGTGGAGAAAGGTACTTGTTAAACCAATCACATCTACTACCCTCCCCAAGGAATTAAAGGGACACATCCTAACATCCTTAGAAAGTTATGGAAATCCATTGGACTGTTTTTTACATTTGAGGACCAAACAACATTGAAAAACTATTTTAAACATTTTTGGGGCTCAACTCCTGGGTCTGATTTCCCAAAAAGATTAAAAACTAATCTTGACATACCTGACGTTTTCTTTTGCAGGGAAAGTTCTGTGAGTGTCTTGAATCCCTCTTGACCCTAAGTAGAACGAATTCTAAATTGGTCAAAAAGTAATTTTTGATTTCATTAGAAAGTTTTACGCACACAACTGGAGCCGGGCACAGAGAATCTCCTCTCAACTAAGCGAGCATAGAATGAATGAGTGCACACTGAAAAGAGGGAAACTGGTGGGGTGTGGGGGGGGGGGGGGGGGGGGGTAGCAAAGGGCTTTTTTTTTCTATCCGAGAAGAACTTTTGGCAACTGTGCGGGGACGGATGTACGGTATTCTGCACACGCACACCAGAGCACCATTGTCTGTTGAGCTGAGCTGAGACTCAGGCAAAGCCGCAGCACACCAAAAATAATATTTATGTAATTCCCAACATGCTACAGTCAGTCACCGTCGTGCACAAAGCTGCATTAACTGGGGTTTTATCACTAATTTTGAATCTATGTTTGTGCTTTTTTAAATGGCCATTGTTTGTTGAAGGCTAGGCAAAATGGCATGCAACTGGAACATTTCAATAGTGTATATGATGATCATGCATTAAGTCTCTGCATCTCACTCTGACAGTACAGACCCAATGTGTGCAACCGTCCATCATCGACCGATACACCATAAACTGTCGTTCTGCGAAGTTCAAGTAGATCTCATCATCAAGGGCTATCTATCTGCACGCCAGTCACGTCCCATGGACTGGCTGTTTTTTTGTTGTAGTTTTTTAAATCTATTTTTTTTACATGAAAGGAGACATGTCGTCATGGAAAAATATATATTCTTTACCATTGTGCTAATTTTGGTTCTTATTTGTGAAGGGCAATTTTCTCGCACGCACCAAGATAGTTATTTTAACACTTTGCTTATAAATCAAATGTAGATAGTTATTTTAACACTGCTTATTAATCAAATGGTTTGCTTGTAAGGCACACTGAAGGGTGATATATGTGTTATAGGCATATAGTTATTTTAACACTTTGCTTATTAATCAAATGTAGATAGTTATTTTAACACTGCTAGATCTTGTTACACCTTATAACGTTAACCTATATCATTTTTGCTTTACTTATCTTTTATCATTTATTTATTTATTATGTACCCTGGTATTTGTCAATTTGCATAGTTACATTATCACGGCTTAGCCCGTTTTATTTGAGATGATCAGGTGAAAGGCCAGGTAGATGCACTAAAAAGACCATAGGCTAATTGAATTGCAATCATTGCAAAATATAATAAATAAATAAATTTAATTAATAAATTGTGTCCACCTTGAATGTCCAATCAGATACAGCATAATGTCTGCCACGCGTGGCGTGTGGCACAAACATTGTATGATTAGGTTTGTAATTAATTATGACGCATAGGTAGTAGGCCTATTAGAGCGGATCACAATGAAAGTGAGCAGTTTGATGACACCTGAAATAAGTAGGCTAATAGATGACCATGTAGAGCCCTGCAGATTCCAGGAGTTGATGGCTATTTTCAGTTTTGACATGGGGTGGCGCTCGAACATCTCCAATTCACTATCTTAGTCCACTCTTGTGTAAAATGAGCCTTTTGTCAGCTAATATTTCGTCCTTTATGATCAAAATAACTGTTACAACTAGGCTACTGTATTATAACGGGCGGCAGGTAGTTTAGTGGTTAAGAGCGTTGTGCCAGTAACCGAAAGGTCGCTGGTTCTAATACCCGAGCCGACTAGTTGAAAAATCTGTCGATGTGCCCTTGAGCAAGGCACTTAACCCTAATTGCTCTGGATAAGAGCGTCTGCTAAATGACTAATTATTATAACAATAGTAAAAACGATTTCAAAAAAGCGTAAACGAAATATGTCTCGTTGTTTTGGATTTAAAAAAACAGGTTAAAATTAGTGTTTTCCTTTTTCAGATTTATGTCTATATGAAAATGTCCAGCTAATACATTGAGAGAAAATTATCCTTTGATTGTTTTAGGACTGATTTAAACAATTTTTTGTCCTGAGTTGGACTGTCTGACGTGCCTGTGGTCGCGTTTCCCTGCTCAGACGTTGCACGCATCAACCAATGGTTGCGTGCTACGTTGTCGACGACGTCATTGACTGACAGATTAGTATAACATATGATGTGGTTAGCTGATACTTAAAAGCCCTATCCAGGCATTGTAAGATCTGGTATATGTCAGCAACGCCTGGGCAGAGGACGAGCCCTGTGACTGGAGCGTGACTCATGCTCAAAACTGTGCACCTTATTGACGCTCCGCTGTTCACGACGGATGAGGAGAGTGGATATGTCAATATATGTTGACGTAAAAGGGACAGCCACGGTAACGGCGCGGGGACGTCTGCTATCAGAGAATGCCACTGCAATCAAATATCACGCATGCATTAGTTCATAGCAGTACACAAGTAGGCCTATTTGTTCCGCTTGTTAGGTATCTAGTTTTTAACCTTGAATCATAATTCTGGGCCTATTTCCAATTCCTTCGTTTGATTAGAAAATGCCTCTCGTACAGAATCAACAACCCGGAATTCTGACCGAAACACCTATGGGTATGTGTGCGCAAGGTCAACTGCGTGGTTGCAGCAAAAACAATATAGGCTACTTGGTTAACATCGAAGCACATGTTGTGCCGCTATCTGGGTGGACGACAGCAATATATTTTTGTCTGTAGCCTATTGACTGCTGTAGGCTACATTGAACTGTCTGACAGTTTATCTTTGTATGGTGTTGTCAACATTCTAAAGAAAGGTACAATTTGACGATGTGGTCAGATTGACAGGATAAATTATTTAGATAGGATGTAATACTGACTATGTGGGAATAAAATGTGTTTGACACGAGCAGGGCGGTACATTATTAAAATATTGGAGAAGCATTAGTTTACATCAGCTAAGTAATTTATGTGCTTCTTGCTCGCAGCCAGCAACGTTAGATACAATGTAGCCAATAAGTGTTCGTTTGTGATTATGTTTTTACTACTTTTCTAACAACATTCACACACACCCATTGTATTTCTGTTCCTTACAAAGTACTTATATGAGATGTTATAATCATTAATTAATTACATGGTAGGCCTAATAACACCTGATTCTACATCAGACAATTGTTGAAATCATGAAAATCACCATTAGACCTATAGATTCAAAGGCCGGGTATTTTCAAAAGGTAGGCTAACATGCATCAGCACATGCACTGAGTGTACAGAACATTAGGAACACCTGCTCTATCCATGATAGACTGACCAAGGTGAATCCAGGTGAAAGCTATGCTCCCTTATTGATGTCACCTGTTAAATCCACTTCAATCAGTATATATGAAGGGGAGGAGACAGGTTAAATAAGGATTTTTAAGCCTTGAGACATGGATTGTGTATGTGTGCCCTTCAGAGGGTGAATGGGCAATACAAAATATTGAAGTGCCTTTGAACAGGGTATGGTAGTAGGTGCCAGGCGCACCGGTTTGATTGTGTCAAGAACTGCAACGCAGCTGGGTTTTTCATGCTCAACAGTTTCCTGTGTGTATCAAGAATGGTCCACCACCCAAAGGACATCCAGCCAACTTGACACAACTGTGGGAAGTATTGGAGTCAACATGGGCCAGCATCCCTGTGGAATGCTTTCGACACCTTGTAGTCTATGCCCCAATGAATTGAGGCTGTTCTGAGGGCAAAAGGGGGTGCAAATTAATATTAGGAAGTTGTTCCTAATGTTTTGTACACTCAGTGTATAGCATGTTAGTAATGAGAAACAAATGATCAATGTCAAGATGATAATAGATTTGAGCTATACATGCATTGTGAATGGAATGGAGTGAGGGGAACAACATGGTTAGTTTAATCATGGCTTTAGATTCCTTGGTTTAATACACAGCTGGGTCCTTCTACGAAATGAGTGTCTTTGTTATTTTAAGTAGAACTTGTGCACAAATATTGAATTGTAAAAGCCTGTTAAATTAAATGAAGTGCCCTTTAATATAGACAACATTGAAAATCCAATCAATCAGATTTTTAATACGATTGCATCCTCTGTGATTTTAACCCACTTAAACCCAACATTTATTCAAGTTTTCACCATCATTGTAAAACCCTAGTTATTTTGTTGCTTTGACATAGTCATTTCTGAAGATATTATTAGTGATTCATTTTAAGGTAACAAAAAAAAAGAAGACACCTGTACCATGTCAGATATAGAGTTGAAATGTATTCAATTTTGAGTTTGCATCCCAATATTACACTTCATATACAGTACCAGTCAAGAGTTTGGACACACCTACTCATTCAAGGGTTTGTCTGTATTTAAAAAAAACTATTTTCTACATTGTAAAATAATAGTGAAGACATCAAAACTATGAAATAACACATATGGAATCATGTAGTAACCAAAAAAGTGTTAAACAAATCAAAATATATTTTATATTTTAGATTCTTCAAAGTAGCCACCCTTTGCCTTGATGACAGCTTTGCACACACTTGGCATTCTCTCAACCAGCTTCTTGAGGAATGCTTTTCCAACAGTCTTGAAGGAGTTCCCACATATGCTGAGCACTTGTTGGCTGCTTTTCCTTCACTCTGCGGTCCAACTCATCCCAAACCATCTCAATTGATTGTGGAGGCCAGGTCATCTGATGCAGCACTCCATCACTCTCCTTCTTGGTCAATTAGCCCTTACACAGCCTGGAGGTGTGTTGGGTCATTGTCCTGTTGAAAAACAAATGATAGTCCCACTTAACCCAAACCAGATGGGATGGTGTATTGCTGCAGAATGCTGTGGTAGCCATGCTGGTTGTCTGCCTTGAATTCTAAATAAATCACTGACCGTGTCACCAGCAAAGCACCATCACACCTCCTCCTCCATGCTTCACGGTGGGAACCACACATGCAGAGATCATCCGTTCACCTACTCTGCATCTCACAAAGACACGGTGGTTGGAACCAAAAATCTCAAATTTGGACTCATCAGACCAAAGGACAGATTTCCACCGGTCTAATGTCCATTGCTCGTGTTTCTTGGCCCAAGCAAGTCTCTTCTTCTTATTGGTGTCCTTTGGTAGTGGGTTTTTTTCAGCAATTTGACCATGAAGGCCTGATTCATGCAGTCTCCTCTGAACAGTGGATGTTGAGATGTGTCTGTTACTTGAACTCTGTGAAGCATTTATTTGGGCTGCAATCTGAGGTGCAGTTAACTCTAATGAACTTATCCTCTGCAGCAGAGGTGACTCTGGGTCTTCCTTTCCTGTGGCGGTCCTCATGAGAGCCAGTTTCATCAGCTTGATGGTTTTTGCAACTGTACTTAAAGAAACTGTACTTGAAGACACTTGACATTTTCCGTATTGACTGACCTTCATGTCTTAAAGTAATAATGGACTGTCGTATCTCTTTGCTTATTTGAGCTGTTCTTGCCATAATATGGACTTGGTATTTTACCAAATAGGGCTATCTTCTGTATACCACCCCTACCTTGTCACAACACAACTGATTGGCTCAAATGCATTAAGAAGGAAATAAATTCCACAAATTAACTTTTAACAAGGCACACCTGTTAATTGAAATGCATTCCAGGTGACTACCTCATGAAGCTGGTTGAGAGAATGCCAAGAGTGTGCAAAGCTGTCATCAATGCAAAGGGTGGCTATTTAATGAATCTCAAATACAAAATATATTTTGATTTGTTTAACACTTTTTTGGTTACTACATACAGTGGGGAGAACAAGTATTTGATACACTGCCGATTTTGCAGGTTTTCTTACTTACAAAGCATGTAGAGGTCTGTAATTTTTATCATAGGTACACTTCAACTGTGAGAGACGGAATCTAAAAAAATCCAGAAAATCACATTGTATGATTTTGAAGTAATTAATTTGCATTTTATTGCATGACATAAGTATTTGATACATCAGAAAAGCAGAACTTAATATTTGGTACAGAAACCTTTGTTTGCAATTACAGAGATCATACGTTTCCTGTAGGTCTTGACCAGGTTTGCACACACTGCAGCAGGGATTTTGGCCCACTCCTCCATACAGACCTTCTCCAGATCCTTCAGGTTTCGGGGATGTCGCTGGGCAATACGGACTTTCAGCTCCCTCCAAAGATGTTCTATTGGGTTCAGGTCTGGAGACTGGCTAGGCCACTCCAGGACCTTGAGATGCTTCTTACGGAGCCACTCCTTAGTTGCCCTGGCTGTGTGTTTCGGGTCGTTGTCATGCTGGAAGACCCAGCCACGACCCATCTTCAATGCTCTTACTGGGGGAAGGAGGTTGTTGGCCAAGATCTCGCGATACATGGCCCCATATTTCCTCCCCTCAATACGGTGCAGTCGTCCTGTCCCCTTTGCAGAAAAGCATCCCCAAAGAATGATGTTTCCACCTCCATGCTTCACGGTTGGGATGGTGTTCTTGGGGTTGTACTCATCCTTCTTCTTCCTCCAAACACGGCGAGTGGAGTTTAGACCAAAAATCTATATTTTTGTCTCATCAGACCACATGACCTTCTCCCATTCCTCCTCTGGATCATCCAGATGGTCATTGGCAAATTTCAGACGGGCCTGGACATGCGCTGGCTTGAGCAGGGGGACCTTGCGTGCGCTGCAGGATTTTAATCCATGACGGCGTAGTGTGTTACTAATGGTTTTCTTTGAGACTGTGGTCCCAGCTCTCTTCAGGTCATTGACCAGGTCCTGCCGTGTAGTTCTGGGCTGATCCCTCACCTTCCTCATGATCATTGATGCCCCACGAGGTGAGATCTTGCATGGAGCCCCAGACCGAGGGTGATTGACCGTCATCTTGAACTTCTTCCATTTTCTAATAATTGCGCCAACAGTTGTTGCCTTCTCACCAAGCTGCTTGCCTATTGTCCTGTAGCCCATCCCAGCCTTGTGCAGGTCTACAATTTTATCCCTGATGTCCTTACACAGCTCTCTGGTCTTGGCCATTGTGGAGAGGTTGGAGTCTGTTTGATTGAGTGTGTGGACAGATGTCTTTTATACAGGTAACGAGTTCAAACAGGTGCAGTTAATACAGGTAATGAGTGGAGAACAGTAGGGCTTCTTAAAGAAAAACTAACAGGTCTGTGAGAGCCGGAATTCTTACTGGTTTGTAGGTGATCAAATACTTATGTAATGCAATAAAATGCAAATTAATTACTTAAAAATCATACAATGTGATTTTCTGGATTTTTGTTTTAGATTCCGTCTCTCACAGTTGAAGTGTACCTATGATAAAAAAGTACAGACCTCTACATGCTTTAAGTAGGAAAACCTGCAAAATCGGCAGTGTATCAAATACTTGTTCTCCCCACTGTATGTGTTATTTCATAGTTTTAATGTCTTCACTATTATTCTACAATGTAGAAAATAGTAAAAATAAAGAAAAACCCTTGAATGAGTAGGTGTGTCCAAACTTTTGACTGGTATTGTACATCACAGAAGACTGAAATATAACAAAATCATTTGTCATAGAAACACCAGATTTTCTGTGTTTAAAAAAATATATATATTCATTATGAAATTCTGAAAACTATTAATAACAACATTCCATCCATGAGGCCACTAGAGGGTGATTTGGTCATTTGACTGCAGGAAAGGGATATATTTAGAGTTCGCATGTTAACATCAACTTTTCACGTGAAGAGAATAACATGTTTTCACCTCACATGTGAATTGCAGTGAAAATTGGATATGCAATTTCACATGCCTTGTCTTATGGTAGAGAAATTAACAGTAAATTATCTGGCAACAGCTCTTGTGGACATTCCTGCAGTCAGCATGCAATTGCACACTCCCTCAAAACTTGAGACATCTGTGGCATTGTGTTGTGTGACAAAACTGCACATGTTAGAGTACCCTTTTATTTTTTAATTAACTTCTTGATATGCCAAACCTGTCAACTGGATGGATTATCTTGGCGAAGGAGAAATGTTCCCTAACAGGGATGTAAACAAATTTGTGCCCAAAAGTTGAGAGAAATAAGCTTTTTGTGCGTATGGAAAAATTCTGGGATCTTTTATTACAGCTCATGAAACATGGGACCAACACTTTACATGTTGCGTTTATATTTTTGTTCAGTATATAAAACACCTCCCTCTTTCCTGTAATTTTCCCTTATCTTTGGTTATGTTACCATGGCCTTTGCTTTTGCTGCCTTTTTTCCAGTTGCAAGTTTTGGCACATTCATTCCAGCAACATAGCACCCTGCATCCCACTGCTGGTTTGAACAGGGTCAGTCCTGGTCGGTCCGTGGATGGGAGGTTAGATGTAGCTGGAAGTGGTGAAAATATGGGGAACATTTTTGGGGACATGAGGGAAAAACACATGTAAAAATGTTTGTCTGACTCGTGAAAATAAAGAAAATATTGATGTTTTTTTCACATTCTTTTTTTTGTAAGGGAACCTTGTTACGTGAAATGAACTCTCGTTTTACTATGGTGAAACTATAAATTTTTAAATAACATAGAATCATCAAATCATAGTTTAAAAGCAGGTGAGCTGGTTCTACTCTTTTTGGCCATTTTCTGGTGGAAAACTGAGCAGATCGAGCATAACACGTCAACTCTGTTACCCATAGACAAACAGGCTAGAACAATTTTTGGGTGGAGCTTGCACTGAATTGCCCCTCCCTGTTTCACACAACAATATTGTCTAACGGTGTGTATGTCTTCCAGGATCATTCAAACAGAGGAAACGGAAGTCCATCATGGTCACTGTGATGTTGCTCATTGTGTCTGTGCTCATCCTTGTCTTTGGACTGGCAGCCACCACCAGGACACAGAACATCACCGTCGGTGGCTACTACCCTGGAGCCATTGTAAGTAGCAGTCTAACATCTTACTGTCTTAGAGACATGTCATACCTCAATGAAAAGAGGGTAACACTACGAATGCATTATGATGCAGTTATAATGCATCGCAAGACTTGTCATGAGTATATGACCCTCTTGTAATGTCTTATAATCATCTCGATCCTGACTAAATACCAGCCATTTTGAGTCAGTTGAAATGTTGATACACAGAGAGACATAACGTATTATAAGCTTGATTCTTATAATACATTATAAATATTCATACATGCATGTATAATTACAATATTATTATAATAATAATAATAATTATTATAACAAGTTATAAATGAGACATTTCCTCACAGTGTCAGGTGTCAGTGTGCAGCGTTAGGACGGAGTCAGGCGCAGGACACAGTACTGAGTAATAGACGAACTTTACTTGAAAAACAACAAATCTAATTTCCACGCAGGGAAATAACATCAGCTCACAGCAGTATAAACACCAAACAAAGAACAATCACGCACAACACCATGAGGGAACCAGAGGGTTAAATAGGGAAACAAATTAACGTAATGGGAACCAGGTGTGTACAATACAGACAAAACAAATGGAAAACAGAAACGTAGATCGGTGACAGCTAGAAAGCCGGTGAAGCCGTAGCCGCCCGCACAAGGAGAGGCACCAACTTCGGCGGAAGTCGTGACAGTACCCCCCCCTTGACACGCGACTCCAGCAGCGCACCGACCTCGGGGACGACCCGGAGGACGAGGCACAGGACGATCCGGGTGGAGACGGTGAAATTCCTGCAGTAAGGAAGGGTCCAGGATGTCCTCCACCGGCACCCAGCATCTCTCCTCCGGACCGTACCCCTCCCACTCCACGAGGTACTGAAGGACCCTCGCCCGACGCCTTGAGTCCATGATGGCTCGCACAGTATACGCCGGGGCCCCCTCGATGTCCAGCGGGGGCGGAGGAACCTCCCGTACCTCAGACTGCTGGAGCGGACCAGCCACCACCGGCCTGATGAGTGACACATGGAACGAGGGGTTAATACGGTAATCAGGGGGGAGCTGTAACCTATAACATACCTTGTTCAGTCTCCTCAGGACTTTAAATGGCCCCACAAACCGCGGACCCAGCTTCCGGCAGGGCAGGCGAAGGGGCAGGTTTCGGGTCGAGAGCCAGACCCGCCTCACTGCGGTGGCGGTCGGCGCTCGCCTTCTGTCGCCTGATGGCCCATTGCAGGCGCACATGGGCAGCGTCCCAGGTCTCCTCTGAGCGCCAAAACCATTCATCCACCGCAGGTGCCTCGATCTGGCTCTGATGCCATGGTGCCAGAACCGGCTGATAACCTAATACACACTGAAATAGTGACATGTTAGTGGAGCAGTGGCGGAGGAAGTTTTGGGCCATCTCTGCCCAGGGGATTAAAGCCGCCCACTCCCCCGGCCGGTCCTGGCAATAGGAACGCAGAAATCTACCCACATCCTGGTTAACTCTCTCCACCTGCCCATTACTCTCGGGGTGAAAACCTGAGGTCAGGCTGACCGAGACCCCCAGACGTTCCATGAACGCCCTCCAGACCATCGATATGAATTGGGGACCCCGATCAGACACTATATCCTCAGGCAACCTGTAGTGCCGGAAGACGTGGGTAAACAGAGCCTCCGCAGTCTGTAGGGCCATAGGGAGACCGGGCAAAGGAAGGAGACGGCATAACTTAGAAAACCGATCCACAACGACCAGGATCGTGGTGTTACCTTGTGATGGAGGAAGATCTGTCACGAAGTCCACCGATAGGTGTGACCATGGCCGTTGTGGAACGGGTAGGTGTCTAGGTGCCTTGCACTAGGCGCACACCGAGCAGGAGGAAACATAAACCCTCACGTCCTTCGCTAAAGTGGGCCACCAGTACTTCCCACTAAGACAGCGCACTGTCCGACCGATGCCAGGATGACCAGAGGAGGGTGATGGGTGGGCCCAACAGATCAATCGATCGCGGACATCAAACGGAACATACAGACGCACAACCGGACACTGGGTGGGAGTGGGGTCCGTACATAACGCCCGCTTGATGTCCGCGTCAACCTCCCATACCACCGGTGCCACCAGGCAAGAAGCCGGAAGTATGGGAGTGGGACACGTGGACCGCTCCTCTGTGTCATACATCCGGGACAGAGCGTCTGCCTTAGCGTTCTGGGTACCTGGTCTGTAGGATAGGGTGAAAACAAAATGGGTGAAAAACATGGCCCACCTTGCCTGGCGAGGGTTCAGTCTCCTCGCCGCCCGGATGTACTCCAGATTGTGGTGGTCAGTCCAAATGAGGAAAGGGTGTTTAGCCCCCTCAAGCCAATGTCTCCACGCCTTCAGAGCCTTGACAACAGCTAACAGCTCCCGGTCCCCCACATAGTTTCGCTCGGCCGGGCTGAGCTTCTTCGAAAAGAAAGCACAGGGGCGGAGCTTTGGTGGCGTACCCGAGTACTGAGACAGCACAGCTCCTATCCCAACCTCGGATGCGTCCACCTCTATGAATGCCAAGGAGGGATCAGGATGAGCCAGCACGGGAGCCGAGGTAAACAGAGCCTTCAGGTGACCAAAAGCCCTGTCCGCACCAGCTGACCACTGCAGTCGCACCGGTCCCCACTTCAGCAAGGAGGTAATGGGAGCCGCTACCTGACCAAAGCCCCAGATAAACCTCCGGTAGTAGTTGGCAAACCCTAAGAACCGCTGCACCTCCTTTACCATGGTTGGAGTCGGCCAATTACGCACGGCTGAAATGCGGTCATTTTCCATCTCCACCCCTGACGCGGACAGGCGGTACCCTAGGAAGGAGACGGACTGTTGGAAGAACAGACATTTCTCAACCTTGACGTACAGGTCATGCTCCAACAGTCGACCAAGCACCTTGCGTACCAGGGACACATGCTTGGCGCGTGTAGCGGAGTACATTAGAATGTCATCCATATACACCACTACACCCTGTCCGTGCAGGTCCCTGAAAATATTGTTTACAAAGGATTGGAAGACTGATGGAGCATTCATCAACCCGTACGGCATGACGAGGTACTCATGGTGCCCAGATGTGGTACTAAATGCCGTCTTCCACTCATCCCCCTCCCGGATACGCACCAGGTGCTCCTGAGATCCAATTTGGTGAAGAAGCGCGCCCCGTGCAATGACTCGGTCACACTGGCTATGAGAGGCAACGGGTAACTGTACTTCACCGTGATCTGATTTATACCCCGATAGTCAATGCACGGGCGTAAACCTCAATCCTTCTTCTTCACAAAAAAGAAACTCGAGGAAGCAGGTGAAGTGGAAGGCCGAATGTATCCCTGTCCCAGAGATTCGGAGACATATGTTTGCATAGCCGCCGTCTCCTCCTGTGACAGAGGATACACGTGACTCCTGGGAAGTGCTGCGTCTACCTGGAGATCTATCGCACAATCCCCCCGTCGATGGGGTGGTAATTGAGTCGCCTTCTTTTTACAGAAGGCGAGAGCCAAATCGGCATATTCGGGGGAGATGTGCATGGGGGAGACCTGGTTTGGACTTTCCACCGAAGTTGCACCTATGAAAACACCTACACACCTCCCTGAGCACTGACGTGACCATCCCTTCAGAGCCCTCTGTTGCCACGAAATAGTGGGGTCATGATAGGCCAACCAGGGAAGCCCCAACACCACAGGAAACGCAGGAGAATCGATCAGGAAGAGACTAATACTCTCCTCATGACCCTCCTGCGTTATCATACATAGTGGAGCTGTGACCTCCCTAATCAGGCCCGACCCTAAAGGACGACTATCTAAGGCATGTATAGGAAAGGGCACATTAGGGATCCCTAATCTAAGTGCAAATGCACGTACAATAAAGTTCCCAGCTGCGCCTGAATCTACTAGCGCCTTATGCTGGGAATGCAGGGAAAACTCAGGAAACTCTATACAGACACACATGTGCGCAACAGGGAGCTCTGGGTGAGTCAGGTGCCTACTCACCTGGGATGATCCACCAGTGCCCTGCCTGCTGCCTCGACTCCCTGGGGAACCTGCCCAGCACCGACCAGCAGTGTGCCCTCTGCGGCCACACTTGGTGCAGGAAACGGCCCCCCTCCTGTCACCCTTAGAGCAGAGACCGCCCGGAAACGGCGGGTGAAATCCTCGTAGCGAACCAACGTAGCGTCTATCCCTCCCCATTCGGCGTTGGCCCACTCCAGCGCTTTCCCCGACAAACAGGAGATGAGGGCGGACACTCTCTCGTAACCCGAGGGGGCCGGGTGGACGGTCGCCAGGTAGAGCTCCACCTGGAGCAGGAACCCCTGGCACCCGGCAGCTGTCCCATCATAGGCCTTTGGGAGCGAGAGCCGAATCCCACTGGGTCCAGGTGGCGGAGGGGTGGACAGCGGTGTGGATTGAGGTGAAGTTGATGGGGTTGTGGGACAAGCTAGAAAGCCGGTGACGACGACCGCCGATAGCCGCCCGCACAAGGAGAGGCACCAACTTCGGCGGAAGTCGTGACACACAGGAAAAATGTAGTTATTATTTACTATTCTATTCTACTGTAAAGCGGGTTATACCTGCAGACTTTAGGGAAAGTGTTACCGAAAAGGGTATTCCATACAATCCAGGGTAATATGCTCTGGCTGATTTAAACTCTATTTTACCTCCTTTTGAGTGCTAATTAATGATGGTCTCCCAGAGGGGGGAATTTTCCCCACATTCATTATTTAGCATTGTTGTCATTAGAGGCTAAAATATATACTCATCGCCTATAAACTGGCTTCAGAGACCCCATTTATATAACCCTCAGCATTCTGCCTCAGTAGAAAGCAACAGTGTTGATCCTATAGAGATTATATTATATTATTATAAGCCTTATAAACAAGAAGCTCCCTAACAGGAAAAATAAAGTTCCTCTATTCTATTCTGTTCTATTATATTATATTCAGTGTGCATGATGACTATGCTGTCTCTAAGAATAAATAATATATGGTTATTCATCTGAAGAAAGACCAGTGAATCACAGTTCAGATACAAGAATATGGCAGGTACTGAAGAACAATCTTAGCTAGTATAGATCAAGAGAAATGTTATTGTGAGACTTGTATGAATAGAGCTGAGACTGGTTGTACTTTCACTATGTCATTCTTACTGGGAGATCAATGCCACCGATCATAGATATGGGCCCTGTTTGAATACTTCCGAAATGCATCCTTCCTTCCCTTCCTTGAAGTAATCACAGATCTGAATTGGTTGGATTGATGTAAGTAATAGGGTGGTGATATTGGACACCTATGCTATCATTTATAGATCTGTGCGTATGTAAAGGACGTCACAATGCTTGCTTAGCGAGTACCACTTCCTCCCGATTCGGCCCATACGTCAACTGCAGCGGTGTAATTGATCTGCACATGTGCCAGCAGCGCAAGCCTCACTCTATGCTTATGCGAGTGAGGCTTGGAGTCAGTTCAGAAACAAGGAAAGTATGCATCTTAGAAATAGTTTTCACATACAAACTTTATATGTTCGAACTCAGAATCAAATAGGCTTCCCCAAAATAACATGGACGCTGTGGTAAAACGTCTATTATATTAATCGGACTATTCACAATCATTGGATTATTGTGTGCATACTCTGTGTTGGCCGTGTTCCTATTGGTCAGTCACCGGGATCAGAACACCAGCCCACACTACACGATAAAGTTGGGCACTGCTAGAACTTTGTCGGAGCCTACGACCGCACGTAGCGGTACTTAATCAGACCTAGACCCTGTCACACTGAATGAGCCAAGACGTACGACGATCGTTTATGACCTAAGACCTAGGGTCCCCTGTAGCTCAGTTGGTAGAGCACGGCGCTTGCAACGCCAGGGTTGTGGGTTCGTTTCCCATGGGCGGCCAGTATGAAAAATGTATGCACTCACTAAACTGTAAGTCGCTCTGGATAAGAGCGTCTGCTAAATGACTAAAATGTAAAATGTAAGAATTTGCCCACGATGTGGAAATTTGGTCTGGGACGGCAAAATCAGGGCATAGGTTTGGCTAAAATCATACAGTCTGCAAAGGCCTTTAGCGAGTACCACCTCGACCCATACCTGGCACGAACTCGGGACCTCTGCCTTGCTAGTATACGTGACTGACCTCCTGAAGTGTCTTACCAGTCAGTGCCGTGTAAATATCTAGCTATTCATTGGCGCAAGTGGAGACACTTCAGGCTGAGGAGTAAGTTTCACATCCCCATGTGCTACACTTACATCAAGGAAACATTTGAACAGGGTAATTTCCTATCACAATAATTGGGATTGATTATTTCCAGGGAAAGGTCATTTGGGTGAACCGAATAGAAGGACCATTTCCTGATCCTGAATGAATCAACAGAAGTGAAGTGTTGTGTTCTAATTGCTGTTGATCTTTATTACCGTTCAAATGAATCTCCCATTTAGTCCAGTTCGACTGGCGCCCTAACAACAGTGTGCTCTTCTTTCAGCTGGGCTTTGGCTCCTTTCTCGGAATCATCGGAGCCCATTTGATAGACAATAAGAGGCAGATGGTAAGAGTATTTATATTATACCTGCACTTCCATATTCATTTCTATGCCATACCTCTATAGCTCTCTGCAGACAAACACCGCCAATAACCCAATTCAATTCTTCAAGCTACAGTCACTTGACATTGATAGACTACACCCAAATTGCGGTCTTCACGTGGCATGAGCACAGAAACAAAGCTACCTTCTCTAGCAGAATGTGACAGTTAGCTCACAGGGGTTTTAGCATGGCTATCAGAACATGTATCCTAGCGCTTCTTGCGAGATGCCGCCAGAAATAAACGTGTGTAAGAGGAGGACAGATGTCCACGCAGGAATGTATGGAAGGAACTGCAGATGAGAGCCGTGGGATGGTGCCAGGGGCGTAGCTACTTCCCCTAGCTACTCCCCCTAGCTACTCCCCCTAGCTCCCGAAATGAGGAATGAGTGTGTAGCGTGTCAGCCTTTACGCACAGAAACTGGACGAGGAGGAAATAGCTGACAGTAAACAACAAACATCCAACGCACCCTAGTGCATTCATCCTACATCATACAGTGGAGCTGTTGCAAAAGAACAACATACAAATGGATATATTGTGCACCATCCACATCCACACATGTACGCATGATTTTAGAAAAGTCAACGTTTTGAAATATTTTTGTTGTTGTTGATGTTGCCACATATACACCAATATATTTAGTAAGCATAGATGGAATATATTGCCATGGAAGGATTCTTGGCTCAGACACAAGTCCCTGCATTTGCTGGTAGCTGTTGAATGTGTTGTGTCACTGGCTACTGCTTCCCTCCTATCCTATTTTCCCAGGGAGGGCTGCAGGGTGTTGTGGGTGACAGGTAGCCTAGCGGTTAAGAGCGTTGGGCCAGTAACCAAAAGGTCGCTGGTTCAAATCCCCGAGCCAACTAGGGTCAAAATCTGTCGATGTGCCCTTGAGCAAGGCAGTTAACCCTAACTGCTCCTGTAAGTCGTCTGCTAAATGACTAAAATGTAGAAATTGGTGTGTAATTGAATACGTGCTGTCTTTCTTTGAGGAGTGGAAGGGACTGAAAAGAGCTGGGCACCTTGCCAGATGTGGTGCAGGCACCAAGGTGACAGCCAGAGCACTCTATCACTGTTGCCCTCTACCTCCCCTCGCTGGGAACATTCATACTCACGCAGGCTGCATTCTCAGTGACTTGGCTTACATCATGTGTACTCATATACACACTCACCTCATGTAGGCATGCACACACTATCATAGGTCACCTGCAACAGCTGCAATGCCACATTAAATTAGAAGCAGCAGGTATTGAAATTAATCCTATTCCAACTTCAATACATAATGAAGTAGGTAATACATCATGTGCAGAACAACAAATACAATCATTTATTATTCATTGCATGAGAAGATTTCCCCTGATGTGACTTTGCTATGGAAGGTAATAAGACAAAGGTCTGAGTGGATAACACTTTGTTTCTCTTGTCACTCTTTGTGTCTCTTCCAGCTGGTGGCGTCCATTGTGTTCATCAGTTTCGGAGTGGTGGCTGCCTTCTGCTGTGCCATTGTGGATGGGGTGTTTGCAGCAAGACACATTGTGAGTACCAGTACCAAACACAGCTAATAAGTCAAGTTCTAATAAGTACCAAACACAGCTAATAAGTCAAGTTCTAAACAGTAAACGTACAGAAGACAGATGCACAGATACCATGCAGTCATATGGAATGTAAATGTTTTGGTGTTATTACATAGTAACCACACTAGTAACTGATTTAATATATAATCTGACCATCATTGTTTTTGTACCTTTTTCGATATTTTCCATGATCAATTATTATTTACATACTGGTTACTTACGTATAGATTATACGCATCTTGTTCATTTGCATCTTGTGTTGTTGCGGTGTATTCTGCTGGTGTGGTTGATGCTGTTGTTTCGTCTCCAGTTATGTCTAAAACCTAAACAGTAGGATAAAATGTGGATATGATGACTTTGTGTTACGCCCCAGGACCTTAGACCTTACTACGCCGGTCGCTGTGATTTCTACGCCAATTCAAAATCCTCTGTTGATTATGAAGATGTGAGTGCACACTTATTTCCTGTTGACCTCATATCACCACTTTGTTGAAAGGTTGCCTTAAAGTTGTTTAAACATTGCCTTAGAGTTGAAAATCCATCAGTTTCACAATATAGAGAGCATGACTCGTATGCGTTACCGTGTCATAACAGTGACTACCTGTGTGAAATCTAGGTTCACTGCCAGACAGCGTCCCGGGCTACCTGTAACTTACGTGTGAAATCCAATACCTGCTACTGCTGTGACCTCTACAACTGTGGCAAGTGAGTTTGCTAAGCCTCCTTCACAAATTCCTATCATCAGAGGACTCTTTTGATATTATTTTGCTGCCTGAGGGGCAGCTAAACTCAGCAAAATTTTATAGTTTGCTTAGTTTGATTATTTACTTGTTTGCCTCAAATGTATACCCTTGTGTTGTTTTAATGTCTTTTTAGTTGCTTTATGGTCAGCACCGTTGGAAAAAGAAAATGTGTTAACTTTTTTAAAACTTATGTTTCAGAGAACATCCTCTTTTGGGACATGCGAGTAAAGATGTTTTGAAAAAGTTTAGAAAAACGTCCATGATTTGGAAGTAGGTCCCTTTCTTTAAGCCCCTTGTGAAACATTGGCAACCCATTATTTGTTGTTGTGGTTGATTTTAAGAGTAGCTATGTATATGTCTTCCTGCTTGGAATACACCATGGGAATGATTGGATGCCCTGCCCTCACTCCTACATGAAGACCAGTCCTCATAACCGTTTCCCAACTCTCTCTCTTTAGTAGCTGTAGCTACAGTAGTTCCCCCTTTCCAACTTGATTTGAAACTGTCATATGTTTTACAGCCAAAGGTGCACTTATGTTCATTTCTATTCTGTTGATTTGGGATTTTCCTGTCAAAAGTACACAATGAATGTCGTACGCATTACACATTTCTCTTTAGCCTTGCGTCTCAATAAGGTGGTTCTTACTTACTTCTGTATGTCTTTACTCTTTCTCCTTCCTGATCTCGTCCACCCACCTCTCCCACACACTGGCCCAGCCGTGTGGAGCTGATGGGGGGCTACCACGAGTACACGGAGGTGGGGAGTTGCGAGGACGTGGTGCACCTCTACCACCTGTTGTGGTCCGTCACCATTCTCAACATCATCGCTCTCTTCCTGGGCATCATCACCGCCGCCGTGCTGGGAGGCTTCAAGGACATGGTGAGACAAGCAGCAGGCCACATCTGGGTTATATTCATTAGGGCACATCCTAGCATAACGTTTTAAAGCGTTTTTCAACAGAAAAAAGGAAAGCAAGCGCTTCTTTTTGGAAAAGTCCAGGTATTCCCTCCCGGATGCAAATTCTCAGTATATCTGGCCCTTTGAGTGTTGCCCTTTGTCACGCGCACACATCATGGACCACAGGTATCAGTATTGCTCATTATATCTTTGTGTTTTGGACAGACGCCCATGCTGAACCCTGACTCGTGTGAATCAGAGCCCCTTCCAGCAGCCCCTGTCCCCTCAGAGTTTCCAGCTCCCAGCACCTCCTCCTTCAACTCCTACTACAACACTGCCACCTACCTGCCACCCTACACTGCCTACGACCTGCAGGTAATATACTACTAATACCCATCATACATTATCCCCCACAAAGCCACAACTAACAGGAATAATGCGTTAGGACTGAAGACAAACTTGAACTATGTGTGGGTAAGTCAAACTTTTGAGGAGATCACGCATTTATGTCAATGATAAATATGCACGAAAATTCAAGTTACACTGGTGGATTTCAAGTTAAGATTCTGTCCTTACTGCTTGACCATAGGATGAGTACTGTACAAACTCAAGTCACCTGTCTTGTTTTAACCCCAGCTTATCTTCCCCCTCCTGTCTCTTCAGGGCTCCAGCATGATGTTTCCTGACTCTTCTGGCATGTCTGATGACTCCCATTCAGGGGCTAGCCACATGTGGCCCACCCTGGTCCCCCCACGCTACTCTCCCCCTTACTTCCCCCCCGACGAGAAGCCCCCACCATACAGCCCCTAGGAGAGTGGCTGGGCCTGGGAAAGAACAGGGGAGGGCATCCAGCATCATCTCCTCTTTTGCCAGCTTCATTAGCAACAATGGGCATGGATGGTTGTTAGTGGGCCTTGAATTTGAACCTGTTTGAAAGAGAGCTGCTGCTACATCTGGCGCTCCAAACCGTTCTTGAGCAGCCAAGCCTGCCTGAGCTGTGTTGTGTATACAGAGACAAGGAGTTAGTGGAAGAAAAAAAGAGCATGCGTCACTGATGTGACTAGAAGCCAGTGCCATTTGTCATAGGAGGGCTGCGAGGCGTCATTCACCCCCCAATAAGTATAGCCTGTTAGGATTCAGTTAAGCTCAACCTGGATGGAGCGGGGGATATAGCAAGATGCTGCTTGCCCTACACACTTTGCTCAGCAGACTCTGTCAGTGCCAGTTCGCTCCCTACATCTTTCCCTTGGCCCTAACTCTTCCATGTTTGCATTTCTGAGGGGTCTGGATAGGTATAAGCAGTGTAGTGGGGGATGTAAACATCCTATCATTTACACCTTACAGTTCTGCAAACATCGAAGGGTAAGCGCCAAGGAGAAGGGGTAAGGAGCGAATTGGGATCGGCTGTACGTGTATCGAAAACAAGCGGACCTCGCTCAAGATACCAGGACTGTCTACAGATGTGCCTCATCCATATCTGTGGACTCTCAGAGAAGCACCAGTTATCCTGACCAGATTAGAAGCTCTCCTCCTTGGACAATGTGGTCTCCTCCCTCTGACTCGCACCTCAGTCTGTCTCTCTCTCTGCCTTACTTAGTATACTATGAATGCTTCCTGTCAAAAGTGGCACCGTGATTGGTCCTTATTTTTTGCATTGCCTTTTCTCAAATGGCATGACACTGGTGTCGTGGTTTGGGAATGGTTTGTCTGATTTGGGACTGATTGACACGCCTTGGTAATGTCACGTTGAACAGTATTAACACTATGTTAGGTTGCTTTCAAGCCCAACTTTTAGCGTATTTCCATTAGGACTAAAAGCGTATAGCCTGTAATTTACTGTACATCATTAGAAATATCATCTGTAACGGTGCTTGAACATATGTAAAGGTACACAATTTTATCTTGTAGTGCAATGTAAAATGAAGGTATTGAAGCATAGATAGATCACAGTTCACCCTTACTCTTTATCTCACGTTATTGTTGTTCGTAGATTGTGAGCAGGGTGATAACAGAGCCAATAATTAAAAAATAAGCCTTTGTTGCGGGGTGGATTGGGGGGCAATCTATGGAGCCAGATATCTATGTATCGTTAGGATCGTAAGAAAATCCATATGTACATTTTTAGGATCGTAAGAAAAGCCATGCATGAAACATGAAACATAAACGTTAAAATAGATCTGTAAATGTACAAACCCTATGTTATGACTATGAATGAACATTTACACGTTAAATTCTTACTTCACGTCTCCCTTTACTCGTTTACAGATATTTTTATGCGTACAAACTTTTGTCAGTAATGTGGCATCTGCAAAGGACATGAACCGAACGTAGCTAGTCGAAGTTAGCTAGTCAATCTAGCAACTCTAGCCCAGACGTTAAGAGTTGGTTTAGGCTAGGCCTATTCCGCTATCTAAATATGCCTTGCTATTTTTATAGCCGCGTCGGGCTATTGTGGTGATCATGTAACCTAATGAATCACACTTTTTCCAGTATTTGGGAGCACGGACTGTAGGCCTTATATTAGTCATTTTGACTGTTGTATTAGTGAATTCAACTCTGTATGTAGGCTTGTTATAGCCATTTGCGATGCACAACCCCATCACGCAGAGGATATATCCATATCAATAAACGAGACAAAACAAAATATTGATTACGTCTTGGCTATAACCTGTCCTGAGCAAAATAGCCAAGGGGTCCCAAATGGTCAAGACTTCCTATAGCCTATTCTTATTGCCAGATCCGTTTTCCCTGTCAGCCACTGCACATGCTTCTTCAACTATTTTGTTAAAATGTATTTAGAGACTATATTTAGAGGCCTGTGAGCTAGGGTCTCTTTTTAAGGGGAGGCCTATAATAAAAACAGTTATAAAACACAAATAGAGTTCTACAATTATTCCGCAAGACACCAGTACCCAAAATGATAGCCTAAATTGCAATACCTACAAGTTGAAGGCCTATTTTTCACTTGGATAGGCCTAAATTAAATATTTAATTATTAAAGTGATAGGCTAAAGAATTTAGAAGATTTTGAATACACATGGATTTCAATGAACAAATGGATAAGACTGTTCTATTCTCTTTGATTTAGTTCCTATTGCAACTCAGACAAATGACTGAATGGGTGACATACTGACTGACTGAACGAATGATGAATTAAATGTTGAAATATGTTGGAATGACGAGTTGCACGCATCATGCATGCTCTGCACTTTATTTGGCTAGGAGGCAAATAGGCCTACATTAGGGTATAATGACTCTATGACTGCATGCCTCCAGAAGGGCATCTTCTGAGGCTGAGGGGTGTTTTTCTGAAGGCGCATGGTGCTGTATGGAGATCACAAGCTCTTCAACTGGGCAGCAGTGTCGCGATGGCGGGAATAGCCTATACGGAGACTACCTAATACCACTGCAACAGAGTTATTGTAAAGTGTAGGAATAAGCTTATGCTAGACTTAGCCTACGTTGAACCTCGCCCTTGTTCATTTCAAAGTACATATGTTCATGACCCAATTCATATTAATCATATCAAATTATTTTATATTCATATTAACTCCTACAGAATATGCTGTGGCAAGATTTTGAGTGATGAAATAAATATAAAAATATTGGAAAGAAAAATATTTTGAGTAGCAAAGACTCCAGTGGTCATACATAATTCAAAGATTCACCAAACATCTAATTATTATATGTTTCATTATTCCTGGTATATACTACTGGTTATGATTGCAGACAGAGCCCAGAGAATTGGATGGTGCAATATTGAATGTCATATTTTGATAAGGTGCATGCATGGGGATGTCCACGTCACCCAGCGATATGCCCATGCTGTAGAGATACACCTAGCGGTGATGACCCTATTATAGTTGAAATGATCGTTTATTCTATTGAACACCTTAAAAATAATAAGTCTCCTGGGACTGACGGTATATCTGCTGAGTTTTACAACACTTTTTCTCAACATTTTGCCCCTTTTCTGTTGGAGGTCTTTTCTGAAAGCATCCCAAATAATGCTCTACCTCCCAGTTTGACTCAAGGTCTGATTACATGAATCCCTAAACCCTAGAAAGACTTGCTTCTGCTCGATAACTGGCATCCAATCTAAATCAAATCACATTTTATTTGTCACATACACGTGTTTAGCAGATGTTATTGCGGGTGTAGCGAAATGCTTGTGAGCTAGTCACGAGGCCCCCATCTTCGTCGGCGCCAAGATCTGTCTGCTCAACCACGACTACAAAATATTAGCCTCTATATTTGCAAAAAGAATGAAAGCAGTATTGGACTCAATTATAGAGGAGACCCAATCTGGCTTCATGCGGAATAGACATATATCTAATAATATCCGACTGGTGTTGGACCTTATTGACTATTCTCATCTAATCTTTGAAGATAGTTTTATTGTCTTCTTAGACTTTTATAAAGCCTTCGATACAGTGGAAAATGAGTTTCTATTTCTCTCCCTGGAGAAATTTGGTTTTTGGGAATTATTTTGTAGTACTTTTAAAACTCTTTATATGAATGGGAACAGTTCGATTAAATTAAAGCATGCACTTCTCCTAGATTTGATTTGAAAAGAGGAATTCGGCAAGGTTGCCCAATTTCACCTTATCTCTTTTTTATTAAATCCAGTGATATTCAACGGATCTCTATTGCTGACAGAGATATTATCATAAATCAGCTTGCAGATGACACCACCCTCTTTTTGAAAGATGCTGACCAGAATCCTAGAGCAGTCGATGTGATAAATATTTTTTCAAAGCATCTGGTCTTTGCCTAAACCTTAATAAGTCTGAATTGTTTGCTGTTAAAAACTGTGTGATACCCTCTATCTGCAATATTCCAGTCAAGGAAAAAGTAACATACCTTTGGATTACCATATCTAAGGATCAACAGGAAAGATGCTCATTAAATTTCATCCCCATTACTGAAAAAAAGAAAGAAAGTTGCAGAGCGATTTATCCTTGAAAGCTGAGGGTATCTCCAGACTTACTTAGGCAGCCCAGTCCCTACATCTTGACAACAAAATATGTAAAGCGGTTGACCAGATGCTTTTCAACTTCATCTGAAAAATTCGTACACATTATATTAGGAAATCTGTCGTTATGAACACATTAATATTGTGGTCTCAATTTTTTTGATTTTCCTACTTTGAATAATACTTTTAAGATAAATTGGGCTGAACATTTCTTAAAGAATCCAACTTCAATTTGGAATCTCATCCCTCATATCTTCTCCCATTTTGGTGGCTTCAACTTGATGTTACTTTGTAACTATAACATTGATAAGATTCCTACAAAATTATTCTTAGCGTGGTCATTAAAATATAAACATAATTTTTCTCCATATAGGTATTTCATTTGTAACAATAAGGATATTTTGTATAGAAACAAGTCTATTTTTTAAGAACTGGTTTAATAATCACATCCTGCTGGTGAGTCAACTTTTTAATGCAGAAGGATGATGATTTTTTTCTCTCGTTACAATATCCCTGTTACACCTAGAGTTCACCAGTCTTTGACGCTATTCCATCTGGAACTCTGTTTGTTTAGAGGTGTAACCAGACTTCACCTTCTTAATACCCTTGCTTAGTCCAGTTGACTCTCCAATAGAAAAAATGTGTTTCTCCTTGCTCCCCCAGAACAACAGATCTATACGTGCTGTATTTCAAAGTGATGTTACTGGAATACATTGGTCAATAATATCTGTTGGAAAAAGGTTGGGTTATTACCACACAAATACCTGCTAGTTAACAAAGTCAAAGAGGTCTCTTTCAGAATTATCCATAAGTATTACCCTGCGAATCATTACCTGAAGAAACTCAAAAAAGACATGAACATTAACTGTAACTTTTGTGTTGAGCATCCAGAAACCGTTTTGCATTTATTTTGACATTATCTACATGTAAAGAAATTATGGCAAGATATTTGTAGTTTTATAATTGTTCATATTCTTGATTACTTTTGTTTATTATGGGAGAATGTGCTGCTCGGTTTCCTTAACTATAATAAGGTTAAAGAAAAACATATGTTCAAATCTAAATTGTGCTAATGGCAAGATTTCATATTCATAAATGTAAATTCACTAATAAAAAACAACTCTTCCATGTTTTCTATAAGGAGTTCGAGCAGTACATTAAGACCATTCTACATTCTTCCAATAAGAAAACCGTTAAAACAATCAATACCTGTGTGTCTTTTAAGGTCTTTGTATAATCTGTAATTTGTTGTACCCCCTAGCATATGTTATCATTGTCTGTTTGTATACTTATTGTATGTATACTGGTGTTTCTGCAACAACAACAAAAATATATAAATCAATAAAAGAGGTACACCTAGCGGATTGAAACTTCACTGTGGTAGTCATAATACAGCTAGTGCCATCTAGACTTGCGCCGGCAAACAAATCCATTACGTTAACTACCTAAATGTAAAGTAAACGCAACTGAGGAGTAATAGAGAATGGAGACTTTTAACTTGAAAACATACAGGATACCTCTTTCTGGTTTCCCTGACTTCCGTTTTTTTTATACTGTTATGCTTGTTTGGGTAGCACTCCTCACAGGCCGTTTGGTGTACGCTTTTTTGTTTGTTGGTGAGATGAAACTGCCAAAACACAAGATTTTTTCAAGCCTAAAATGTTAGTCCGTAATCGTAACATGGTGTTTGTATATTCACAGATGAAATTTCACATTTACGTTCATGTTTCACGCATGGCTTTTCTTACATTTACATTTTAGTCATTTAGCAGACGCTCTTATCCAGAGCGACTTACAGTTAGTGAATACATTTTTTTATTTTTATACTGGCCCCCCGTGGGAAACGAACCCACAACCCTGGCGTTGCAAACGCCATGCTCTATCAACTGAGCTACATCCCTGCCGGCCATTCCCTCCCCTACCCTGGACGACGCTGGGCCAATTGTGCGCCGCCCATGAGTCTCCCGGTCGCGGCCGGCTGCGACAGAGCCTGGATTCGAACCAGGATCTCTAGTGGCACAGTTAGCACTGCGATGCACTGCCTTAGACCACTGCGCCACACTTACAATCCTAACAATTTAACTATGGATTTTCTTTGATCCTAATGATATGTACGTTCAACCTTTTGGCAGGTATCTGGCTCCATAAGAATCTGAAACTGAAATTATCACCCCGAACATTATTTATTTTATAAGTTGTAAAGGGACTAAACACTAAACTCTCCTGTCTCTTTATGGATGTAATATAATAGGTTATTACACATGAACACTTGAATATACCAAAATAACACCCTTTTGTGTTGTCTTAATCACAAAATGCATTGACCTCAAAGTAAAGTGCAGCCTCTTGAGATGATCGATTAAAGTAGTCAGCTTTGTTTTTGCATCATTTGTTTTGAACAGCACTTTCTCAACCGCTGAAGATGGACTTCTGCTGACTGGAGTGGATTGATTGTCTCGCCATTAAAAGTAATTGTTTGTGTAAAATGCTTGTACGGTGTTATTTTCCATAGACAACATATAGGCTAAATAGTCAACATGCATCATACGTAATTAAATACCTACCTCACAAGGTGCATTTTATTTTCCTTTTTTGAATAACAGCATCCACCAGAGAAAAAATGCCAATGGAGGGACCTTCATGACTATGGGAGTTAGGACAACTATCAGATTTATACTCTTTCATACTAAAAAGGCCGTATCGTCGTCTCATTCTATAGGTTTCTTCCATTCTGTCAAAATGAGGCACACTTTTTTTATTTTATTAATATTTGTTTAGCACTATACCTAATAAATACTTTTTAAAAAACAAATAAACATTTTCTAATGAAAAAGGTCACAATTATGTACAAGACACACCACTGTTAAACGTGTAATGTTTCTTTTAGCCATAAAAGTTGGAAGTGAAGGACATCCTGAAGCAGCTCTCTACAGTCCAACTCAATTCAACTACATACTAACAAGACAGGGAAGAAAAAGGGACATAAAAAAATCTGCAGCACAATCCTGCACTAGGTGCTATATCATAACAGAAAGAAATGGTTTTCAAGTTACATAATTCCTATGATACACTACGTAGGCAAACTGTATACATAGAGTAGGAGGTAGCTGACTAAACTCAACTCCATGGTGAAGGAAGTTTCTGATGAACTCCACAAACGGAGTTAAGCAGAGACCAGGCTTTATGGAATTCGCTTCGCCCAAGATCAATATAAATTATGAAGTGCATACCTTGTACCTATGTTTGTCCTCTGTAGTTGCGTACCTTTCTTTGTTTTCTGAACTCCATACTTTTTAATCAAATGTTAATAAAATACAGCCACTGACCGTTTCCTTGTTGAGATTCATCTAAGAGCAACAGCAATGAGGAAACAGTCGGTGGTTGTTTTTTAAAATCACGTTTAATTAAAAAGTATGGATTTCAGAAAACAAAGGGATGAACGACATCCATTAATTCCATCAATATCCTTTATCCTGATCCAATCTCTGTTCAAACAACAAACATCAACTGCTACCATTCAGCACCACTGTACATTTTATCTTCCTAAAAGGAATAAAAAATTAAGATCTAACAATAAATACATGTGTATGCCTAGATTTAGGGTCCTTCTGTTGAACTGCATGAGCACTCCAGACAGAGTACTCACAAATATTTACCATTAAAAAGGGTAAGTAGAAATAAAATGAGCGCCAATACATAGTTCAATGACGAGGTTGATAAGAACAAAAGTCACACTACACTCTGGATGGGCTAGCTAGAGCACATAGGAATTTCCTACAAAACAACTACACTGAACAAAAATATAAACGCAACATGTAAAGTGCTGGTCCCATGTTTCATGAGCTGAAATAAAAAATCCAAGAAATTGTCCATAAGCACAAAAAGCTTATTCCTCTCAAATGTTGTGCACAAATTTGTTTACATCCCTGTTAGTGAGCGTTTCTCCTTTGCCAAGATAATCCATCCACCTGACAGGTGTGGCATATCAAGAAGCTGATTAAATAGCATGATCATTACACAGGTGCACCTTGTGCTGGGGACAATAAAAGGCCACTTTAAAATGTGCAGTTGTGACACAGAGGGTGCTGACAAGTATTTCTGTCTGTAATAAAAACTCATTCTGATTGGCTGGGCCTGGCTCCCCAGTGGGAGGGCCTGGCTGCCAAGTGGGTGGGCCTATGCCCTCCCAGGCCCACCCATGGCTGCCCCCCTGCCCAGTCATGTGAAATTCATAGATTAGGGCCTAATTTATTTATTTAAATTGACTGATTTCCTTATATGAACTGTAACTCAGTAAAATCTTTGAAATTGTTGTATGTTGCGTTTATATTTTTGTTCAGTATAGTTTAGCTAAAACAACTGTTGAACATTTGAAAAAGACAACATTTGACGTGGACCCAGGAAACAGAATTCAAAGAGGGGGACCCTACTGACAAGGCACAGATTACAGAGCGGTGAGCCCCCTGCTCAGTATGTCTCTGGTATGACAAACTCAAATTCAGATGAGCCTGGGGGAGGTTGGATAGGGTGGCTCCCTGGCCGGTGGGCGTGAGCACCTGGTCGGGGCTGTGCCTCAGGCTCCACAAAGATGTCATCCCAGTTCAACATCTTGCCCTGGGTGGACTGTAACTGTAGTGGGTTGGCCAGGTGCCCCCTTCCAGGGTTAATGTGCTGGACACTCCCATCCTCTTGGATAATAGGGACCCCTCGTGAATCTGAATCGTCTGTCTCGTAAGAGTAGGTCTTGAACTGCACCGTTTTGCAAGGGAGCAGGCGGTACAAGTTGTTGTCAGTGTCGTCCTTCTGTTTCCTCCCGGATGGGTCCTGGTTGTGGGCCTGTTTGCAGTGAGTTGACAGCAGCTGGTAGTTGATTAACATCTCGTTGCACAGCAGGCACTGGTACCTCCGCTCGCCTGTGTGGTGGATCTCGTGTTTGGTCCGGTACTCGGCCAGGGCAAACACCTTGTCGCAGTAGTGGCACGGGTACTTCTTCTCCCAGGAGTGGGTGTTGAAGTGGCGCCGAAGGCTCGTCATGCACACGTAGGGACGCTTGCAGACCACGCACACAAAGAAGGTCTTCCCGTCCATGATGAGCTCGTAGTGATCTTCCTGCTCCGTTTTGGTCTTCTTGCTCGGGGTGCCCTGTGGCAGTTGAGAGGTGTTGAAAGGTTGAAGAGGGGTGGCCATCAGAGACCTTTTTCCCCCTCTACTGTTTTTAGAATCTCCCTCCCCGGGGTCGTCCTTCATTGGGACAATGTCATATGTGTTTTCCCCAATGTTGGCGTACACCTTGCAGCCTGGAGAAAACGAGTCGATCTCTGAAGCTTTATCTAGTGTTATCGTCTTTTTTGCAGCTGCGGATATTTGGGGAATGTTGATGCCTGCCTCCTTGATGAATCCGCCGGGTGACTTAACATCAGAGAGCTTGATTTTTAAGTCACTCTGTCGAGCTAGTGTAACCTGCTTCTTGTGGATTCCAATTATCTTGTGGTTTTCTGAGGGCAGGGAGGTGCTGAGTGTTTTGGGGGTGAAAGTCCCAATTCTAGCCGGCATAGTGGGTGTGCTGCAAGAGGAGGCTCCAGCGGGTGAAGACGGAATATTGGACCTTGTGTCAGGGGACACCATGTGGCTGCTCAGAGGACTCTGGTCTTGCAGGGTCTGCGAGGAGCTGTTGAGGTGCGGGGCTGCTTCGACTGTTTTCTCTTGGTCCTTTGTCAAAGCGGGTCTGGCCTCTCCCGGTTGTTTTGTCACAGAGTCTTCCTCTGTACCGGGTCCATCCAAATCGATGATTTCGGAGGGCTTGCATTTCTTGATGGCGTCCGTTTTGGATACAAACATAATGTCGTCATTGTCCGAGTCCTGATCCTTGTCTGCACTTTTGTCAGTTTGACTGAACTCCTCTGCAGACAGTGAAAAGGACTCGGTGATAATGGGCATCATCATCCCCATAGACTCAGTACTGCTTTTCTCCACGGAGCTTACTTCATTGTTTTCTGTGTCTTTGGACAGGCCAGGTAGGCCCTTGACTTGTGAGAGTGGTACGCCTAGATTCGCAATGAACTTCACACCCAACACCTGCCCAGCATTGATAAGCTCATTGAGCATGTCGGAGCGAACGCGGACAATTTTGGAACTGTAAATGTAATTCAGGATTTCCTCAAAGATTTCCGCCTTGATGAAATTCAACTCGATCACCTGTCCAGCCACTGAGAAGAGTTGGTGGAAATAAGTACTTGACGCGGACAACATGTTTTTGTGTGCTCGGAATTTACGGTCCTGTATAACTATGGTGACATCACAGAACAATCCATTATTTCGCTGTCTATTCATCGACTTCAGCACCGTTCCTGAATACCGGGTGTCAGTTGCAGAGATCAGCTTTAGGCCCGACATCCCTGTGGAGTGAAGACAAAAGCAATGAATAACAAATGCATTCACTTGACAGTCTATTGTATCAATATAAAACATTTCCTCCACCCCAGTAGGTCTTACAGTTGCTTGACTGCACTACTAGCAGTAAATTGAATATCACCTTTCACTTCTTGTTGGGTGACCTCGTCATGCATTCATAGTAGCCAGAGAGGAAGAGGCGAAGCAAGAGGTTTCACGCTCGCCAAAATCTGTCCAAAATAAGCACAATGCGTTTCTATGGGCTTAATTTGGTTGTCGCTCGCCTTCCCGCCTTTGCGACAACGACTCCCATTGTTAGGGCGGAGACATTAGCATCTCATCATCATTTAACGATCTCTGTAGTAGCTCATTGTTTTAAAGGGCGACTGCACTTCCTTATTTGGCCTCGTTTTAGATTTGGTTCATTAAAGGGTAACTCTCAACCCCAATTTCAGCCTTTGCCCAACCCCTTCAAATGTTCAAAAAAATGCATTCAGGTGAGAAGCTGTGGGTGAGGGGAATTGCATAAATATATGAGAAAACAAATTGGGGGGTAAACGTAGTTGTACCTGATCCCAATACTTTCTCACTAAAACATACTTACCAGAAGTCCACTGGCATGCTCTGATAATAAAATGCTGTGCATCGCAAGCCAATACATCACTGCAAGGCGACGAGTTCCTGACATCTATTGCCACTTGTGGTGTAAATTAAAAGCCCCCATGGGGCGCAAAAAAAATCTATTTGAAATGTGGACTTACATTTATTGCAGTATTGTTTTGGGAAGAAAAGTGCAATCATCACCTTGAAAATGAAGATTAGGGGCTCAATTCAATCCAACTCGCAGCTCTTTTTCAAATGGTCAAATTAACTCACAGATTGGTTTTAGGTACTGTATAAAAACCTACAACTACTACTACTACCAGGGCGACCCCTCTCACAGGTATGCTTTCACTCTTCTGACTTAGAAGTGTGTGGTCATGGGATAAATACTGTAAAGAATTGAGAAAAAAATGATATCTGCCCCATGTGGAATTAGAACTCACAACCATTGAACTATGAGCCAACTGTCTTAGCGGACTGCGCCCCCCAGTCACAGCGTTACGGAAAATACTCACAGTTGACATGACCACCATTGTCATCTATTTCTTGTTACTTTGGATGTAGCTACAAATATAAACGTATAATCCTCATAGCCTACATGTTTTTTTTTCTTTGTAAAAGAACAGATGAAACGGTAAGAAAAAACAGAAATGTGCTTTACGGCCTTTTACATTTTGTGTAACGTCAGTAGTCTTGTCAAGGAAGCATCATCGAAAACATATTGGCCCACTCCACTTACCAAGACCATTGCCAAATAAGGCGCCCTTTCACCTGCTTTTATAGTAAGCCTTGAGGTGGTACCACCCAGTACATCTAGAAGGGAGTGTATTTAAAACCGAACCCCTCCCTTGAGATGACGTATCTACATCACGATTTCAATGGTAGAGTTGAACCGCTAGCGGCAAAAAGAGCTAGATTTACTACTAAAAGACCTAAATATATCAGTTTTGCAACAAATTGTCAAAATTAAGACCAGAATGTATGTGTTTGACTAAAACTAAGCGTAAAACATCTGCCTTTCGATAAAAAATGTAATAATGGCTAGCGGCCTTGACTGAATTCAAACGTGAGTTGGTTTCGGGGTGTGGTTTGATGTGGATGTCTCTTGTGTGTTCTCAGGTGGGAAGAGTTAGCCAAATGATTTAGCCAATTAGCTTCAGCCACCTCGTGTCTGACCGTGGTAAAATGTGTTTGACTTTGGATAGACTATCTCTGGGGATAGATAGGGGCTGTCAAATTACAAAATGGAAATCTGACAATATTTTCATGTTGCACACCTTTTAGTTGTCTCATATGCTTTCAATATTTGTATATGAATCACTACAATTTATAGTTGGAGGTTTTTAAGTCATTGAAATTTGGAGCTATTGACCTTTTAAAATATTGTCCCATATACATTGTGTAATTTACTGATGGTCCCTAACCAGCCCCATAGGTATATTGAATGTCAAACCAAATTGACCATGGGCATTACAGGTTGCATGAAGCTGCCAGTTGTGGGCAGGATTAAAATAAACCCAACCCACAGAAAACTGTTACGGTAACCTTCATTCCGTGACATACAATTTTTTTCCTATCATCTCGCAAATCTCAGTTTTGGACGAGGCTGACTTTATGACCAAAAAGTACCCTTTTTACACTTTGTAGTCAATTTTGACACTAGAATAAATGTTTCTGACTCATTTCGATGGCACATAGGACATTTTCAAAACGAGAAGTTGCTTTTTATGGGCAGTCGCTCTTTAAAGGCAGGTGGGAGTCAGCTACCTATTATGCTAGCTGTTCTACATGCTAGTGTGGTGAATAAAAAAGTTGGCAAACTAACTACATTGCTAGCTAGCTAACTAACTATAGCCTTAATTGAAAATAAAAGTCAAGGTCTATACAATAGTGATGTGCAGTTCGCGAACGATTCGTTCTTTTTGAATTACTCTTTTTACTGACTCGAGAATCATGATTCATTTTACTGAGTGACTCATTCATTTTAGTCGTTCGTTTGACCTGCTAGTGTTGGCCGCAATGAATCCTACAGCAGAATGAATACACGCTCCTTCGGTTCAGCGACTACAGAGACGTGCTGCAACCACCAACTAACTGTCTGCCATTTTTTTACAGACGCACACAAACATACACAAGATCACCCCTGCCCAGACCCACCTGCTCACACCCCCATCGCCAACGCCCGTATCACTCTCCACCGCATGGCCTCAAACTGCACCATTTTGTTTCTCTCCATCGCCCACGCACTTCCAACATTTAGATAAAGCATTTCACCTTCCATTGTGTTAACGATGGAGGATTAGTTGATTTCCAGTTAAGCATACCTTTTTTCCAAGATGATTGACGAAAAAAGTATCGTCCAATCCATCGGGTATCTCACTGCACCCTCATATGCCATGTCTTGAAATGTGCAGACAGACGGATTAATAGTACATTTACATTGTAATACTTATGACCGCCAACTTTCTAATGCCGCCCATAACTTTTGGACATTCTAGCATTCCCAGACAGCATGGATTATTGAGTCATTGTTCTTTTTATACTTAAGACCTGACTGGCGCTGTGCTGTAGAATTTGTGAATTTTGTCACGTGTAATAAATACTACACATTAGCTTGTACTGGATTAAGCGTACATTTAGTTAGTTATATACAGGGGTTCCCGGTACAGAGTCAATGTGCGGGGGCACAGGTTAGTCGAGGTAATTGAGGTAATATGTGCATGTGGGTAGAGTTAAAGTGACTATGCATAGATAATAAACAGAAGTAGCAGCAGCGTAAAGGAGGGGGTGGGGTGGGGGGACAACGCAAATAGTCTGGGTAGCCATGATAAGCTGTTCAGGAGTCTTAAGGCTTGGGGGTAGAAGCTGTTAAGAAGCCTTTTGGACCTAGACTTTGCGCTCCGGTACCGCTTGCCGTGCGGTAGCAGATAGAACAGTCTATGACTAGGGTGGCTGGAATCTTTGACAATTTTGAGGGCCTTCCTCTGACACCGCCTGGTATAGAGGTCCTGGATGGCAGGAAGCTTAGCCCCAGTGATGTACTGGGCAGTACGCACTACCCTCTGTAGTGCCTTGCGGTCGGAGGCTGAGTTGTTGCCATATCAGGCGGTGATGCAACCAGTCAGGATGCTCTCGATGGTGCAGCTGTATAACTTTTTGAGGATCTGAGGACCCATGCCAAATCTTTTCAGTCTCCTGAGGGGGAATAGGCTTTGTCGTGCCCGCTTCACGACTGTCTTGGTATGTTTGGACCATGAAAGTTTGTTGGTGATGTGGACACCAAGGAACTTGAAGCTCTCAACCTGTTCAACTACAGCCCCGTCGATGAGAATGGGGGTGTGCTCAGTCCTCTTTTTTCCCCCTGTAGTCCACAATCATCTCCTTTGTCTTGATCACATTGAGGGAGAGGTTGTTATCCTGGCACCACACGGCCAGGTCTCTGACCTCCTCCCTATAGGCTGTCTCATCGTTGATCAGGCCTACCACTGTTGTGTAGTCAGCAAACTTAATGATGGTGTTGGAATCGTGCCTGGCCATGCAGTCATGGGTGAACAGGGAGTACAGGAGGGGACTGAGCACGCACCCATGAGGGGCCCAGTGTTGAGGATCAGTGTGGCAGATGTGTTGTTACCTACCCTTACCACCTGGGGCGGCCCGTCAGGAAGTCCAGGATCCAGTTGCAGAGAGAGGTGTTTAGTCCCAGGGTCCTTAGCTTAGTGATGAGCTTTGAGGGCACTATGGTGTTGAACGCTGAGCTGTAGTCCATGAATAGCATTCTCACGTAGGTGTTCCTCTTGTCCAGGTGGGGAAGGGCAGTGTGGAGTGCAATAGAGATTGCATCATCTAGGTTTCTGGGATAATGGTGTTGATGTGAGCCATGACCAGCCTTTCAAAGCACTTCATGGCTACAGACGTGAGTGCTACGGGTCGGTAGTCATTTAGGCAGGTTACCTTAGTGTTCTTGGGCACAGGGACAATGGTGGTCTGCTTGAAACATGTTGGTATTACAGACTCAGTCAGGGACATGTTGAAAATGTCAGTGAAGACACTTGCCAGTTGGTCAGCACATGCTCGGAGTACGCGTCCAGGTAATCCGTGTGGCCCTTCGGCCTTGTGAATGTTGACCTGCTTAAAAGTCTTACTCACATCGGCTATGGAGAGCGTGATCACATAGTCATCCGGAACAGCTGATGCTCTCATGCATGCTTCAGTGTTGCTTGCCTCGAAGCAAGCATAGAAGTGATTTAGCTCGTCTAGTAGGCTCGTGTCACTGGGCAGCTCGCGGCTGTGCTTCCCTTTGTAGTCTGTAATAGTTTGCAAGCCCTGCCACATCCGACGAGCGTAGGAGCCGGTGTAGTACGATTCAATCTTAGTCCTGTATTGACTCTTTGCCTGTTTGATG